ACAGGATATCTTTTTTGTAGGAAATCTGTTGATTGAGATAAACAAAAGTGCATGAAAATAAAGAGAATGGACTATACTGAGACACCAACAATTTGCAAAGATGTTTCTAGTTTCAAAGGATTGCAGAAAGTAATCCGTGTGGTGAAGATTTTAGTCTTCAGGTGTTTGGAAATTTTCTGAAATATATTTCTATCAAAAGCCTAGATTCTATCTATATTCTGTCTTAAAGTCTATAACAAATTCTGACTGATGGATTTAGGATATTTTTCACAGGCTTAAGGATTTTGTTTCTCTCTTTTCACTTTCACACTGTGGGTTTAAATGGTGGCAGGAAGAAATTTAGAATCAAAACCAGTGCAGTTCAGGATAAAAATCAGTTCAGGAAAAAAGATCTACTATTGCTAGAGCAGAAATCAAGTCTATTTTACACAGGTGTTGGCTGAAGAGGAACTAGATCAAAGAGGGGAAGTTAAAGTGTATCTTACTTTTGCTTGAGAGTTGGATGTTGAGAAGTGCTCACAGTGGAAAGACACAGAGATTCCTGGGTAATCCCATTTAAATCACAAATATAACTTTCAGGTACAGATCATTAGTTACCTCTTTCATGTCTTGACCTTCATATGATTTCAGAGAATTCAAAGAAGACATTAAATCCTTACCAAATTTAACTTGTCAATAAGGACAATACAGAGGAAGGATTTGTCTAACAAACTTTGACAGGCATGGTGTATCAGCCACTTTATTCAATATACGCAACATTTCTATAGTCTCTTTTGTGACAGATGTTGGAGATATATTTTAAATTTAAAATCACAATTATTGGTATAAGATTCACCTGCACCAAATAGATGCATTCCTGTCAGGGTAAGTGGAAAGCACATCCAGCAGGATGTAGTATTTAAGTACCTGCTGTTTGAAGATCATGATCCTAAGGGTGATATGTAGTCCTTGTCCCTTCTCCTTTACCTCCCATTTCTGCTGGCCTCCTCCTCAGTGCCTGCAACAGAATAGGATGAACACCCTCAACAGCAACATTTTGTTTCCTCACACCCACTGCAGTTCCCTTTTACAGTGAACCAGCTTAAAGACTTTACTCATCAGACCTGTTTCTCTGTTCAACACAAGTGCTAGGGAGGTAAATGAAGGAAAACAAGGCATACTGTGGCCACCAGCATGCTCTGAGAAGATTTACTTCAGCCCGTGTCAGCCTGGACTAGGTTTCTCCTAGTGGGTGGTATTGGGGGTCCAAGTCAACCCACACATGCTCTGCTTCTTCCTGTCAACTGTTCACTGCAAAAAGACCTGGGATCACATCAGGCCAACAGTGTATGCACCATATCATCTACCAAACCCCCCAGTTCTGCCCCAAACCATCACCTAGTCAAAAGATGGGAATGATTCTCAGTACTATTAATTCTTCAGAGGCAGAAACAACTGCACTGGAAATATTTCCCAAGTACGTATCAAATATAAAACAGTGAATTATTTTATATGTGGCTTTCTTGGCTTTGAACATTTTCCATGTGGTGATTATGGTGTTTCCATTCCACAGAGTCATATATATTTTGAAATATATTTCAGAAAATGAACTTGGTTGCTTTTCAGGTCACAAGAGACATTCCTTGCCTTTTCTGGGTATTCTCTGTTTAGCAAGAATGCACTTAGTATAGCAGGATAAATTATAGAAGCCCATGGGAGTCAGTGCCATATTGTGCAACTCACACAAACACCCATGGGCTTGCAGAGGAGAGCTCTGTTTGTTCAAGAATAAGATCTGGTATTTCTCATGCAGGAGGTCATATTACCTTGAAGTGCCTCTGCCCCGTAACTCTGCCTGATGAATAACATCTGCTCCCATAACAACTGCCTCTCCAGCAGGAGAGATGGGCTCTGTGGCATGACAAAAACCAAAAGCAGTCCACAGGCAGTCCTCTACCAAGGCAGCAAGCGACCACAATAAGAAACAGAAGCCTCTCTACGTGCCTGATTCAAGCCCTGCTGGAGCCAACAGGAAAGAGTCCAGAAGATTTCAGGGTGTCTTGATTTAGGAAACATGCACACCGCTGTCTCTGCTCCAATAAGGGTGGTACTGTCAGCAGCAACAATAAATGCCAGTTGGAACTGAATATTTCTCCAGTCCTTTGCCTTCTTGTCAAGATACACAGTACATGGGTCACTTTACAATGGTATTGATGCAAGCAAAGGAAGTTTTTACTGGAATTAGCAATAGCAGATATGTTTTTCCATACCTAAGAAATCTGTAATTGTCAATGTAATTTGCAATCCAGAACTAGCAGCCTTCTTATGGCAGGAAAGTTTTGTGCAACTAGAGATCACTGGGCAAGGGATTCCTCTGCTTTGCTTCCATTCACATTAACACACTGAATTCCTCCTATTCCCAGCAAGTAAAATTAGCCTTTAGCTTTCATCTCACTCCCCCCATCCCAGATAACAAAATCAAGAGAACTTATATTGAATTACAAATATTTCCAGTGCAAGTGGGTAAAAATTTCACCTGAAAAGACCTAGGAATAAAGTTAGCTGGGAGATGGTAATTTGGTTTCACAACTTTCCAGTTTCTAAAACAAATTATTGTTTTTCAGTGGAATGAAATGAACTTCAGAACATTTTGTCAAAAATAAATTGAAGAGAAACACTTGTTTTCTATCATAAAGCACAATTTTATCAGCTCTGATCCTCTCTCACTTAATTCCATTTTGCTCCCCCACTCACTTTCTGTCACCAGAGGTAGCTGCAGAGCCCTGGATCACAAAGACTTTTCAGCTGCATTTTTTTTTTTAAATCAGTACATTTCTATGTGTTATTTTGGGTTTTTTTCACTAAAAATGCATTCTGTTAAGAATGTTCATAAACAAATCTGGCTGGGAGAAGCTCTTAGCTTGTCCCAAAAATTGATATCTGACACATCTAACAGTATAACCAGCAGCTCATTTGTGAAGCTCTGGGAGAAAAATACAGTGTGAAATGCTGAAACAACAGTCCTATATATTATAGGTGTCCTGTCTATTTTTTTGCACAGAGTATAAATTTTTTTGGTTACATTCCATTCAGCTTATTCTGAAAGCACAGATTTAACTTAAGAATTCCTCTTCCCTGTTTTGTCCTCTTGACCCTGATCCCAAGGATTCTAGGGATATACCTGTGAATAGATAGCAGGGAAAAAAAATGTATATGTAGCCTTATGTTCCTCTATTCACTTCAATGTGGAATTGACAAAAAAATCTTAGCTGTTTTTGAAAGCAAAGGCAAATGCATGAGTCCCACATTCTGCCAGTTGTATTTCTTTATGTATAAATTACAAGATTACAGACAGAAAAGAAAACCTCTACCCTGGTATACCATTTTGACTTTTCCATGGAGACAGACTTGCTTATTTTCCTGGGAGGTCAGGAGGGGTTTTGCCGCTATGCTGACATTTTGCATCATCTTCTTTCTTTTTCATCTCGAAAAAAAACCCAATAAAACAACCAAAGCACAGTTCTGAAATGGCAGTAAAAATGCATTGCTCCTTTGGAGTGACATGGACTGTGTATGTCTGTGCATCAGCAGGTTAGTCAGAGGGACCAGAAGAGAGTTCTTTAACCCTGGATGTATAAAGGAGCCAACCTAAACGATTTTTTTGTCTTCCTTCGATTGTACCATCATGTCTAGAAGCTCTTTTTTTTAAAAGTGATGCCTTATGGTTGAGGAAAGAAAGGAGAATACTTTAATTAGAAAAAAATCTAACTTCTCTGTCACATCTGGCCTTTATGCATCAATAATCCCTTGAGCACAGCTCATAAGCAATGAGCACTCAGAGACAATTCCAGTGCATTCTATTGACTTCCAGGAGATGCACAAAAGGATAGTACATATCCTGAAGGCAAAAGCATGTGCCATTTTCTTAGTCTTCTATTAGTCATATATTGCTAGTAGTTTAATTATAATCTATTGAGTACTGCTGGTAGGCTATACAAGGCACAAAAAGAATTCTGTGTATAAACACAACTGATTTTTATCTTTTTCTTTATTTATCATTACCCTGTTACCCATTTCCATAGACCTTTTGTTGTAACTTCATGTGATACAGATTAAAAATACTGTGATTTGAAAAATAATGAGAATTGTACAAGCAAGCAAGCAAGCATCAAACAAGCATTTAGCAAGCATAATCTCATCACGTTTAAAAAATTCAAAAAAACAACAATGCCTTTTTCAGGTACAAATATTCAAAAGTACGTAAAAAATAACTTTAATCTCACTGAAATTGAAAAAAAATAAAATAAAAAATGTATGCATCTAACTAGATAGCCAGATGCTCAACTGAGGTGAGTTTACTTATTCTGTTGACTTCAACAGGCCTTCCTTTTTTTGTTTATTGCCAGACTAATTAGTTTCATGCAGGGCCAAAATCTTTGTATGTATTGACCAAAAAAAGGGACTGCAAGGTCATAAAATTAGGGGGAGACCTGACACAAGCTTGCTTGTTGCATAAATCTCACAGAAGAATGCCCAAGTGGAACATGAAGGAAAGATGGAAACAGAAGTTGCCTTCATGTGATCTGGCTCCCAGTAAATCACAGCATTACTCTGCCTTATAAGAATGTCATACCCTCAGGTCTGGACTTTTTTATTTGGATTAGAGTTTGAAATGAACAGTCAGTAAGAAAGAAAACAATATGCAGATTGAATTCCAAAATATTCAAGTCAATATTAGCTTTAAAAAAAATAAAGAGGAAAAAAATCATCTGAGAACTTAAAAATATAGATTTAGCTTCAAATGTGTGTCTTTCTTGCCTATTTAGAGGCAGCCTATTGTTATGTGATTCATAAATGGATATTATATGTTGTAAGGTGTTTTCATTAGCCAAAGCTGACTGGCTTTTCTGAATACATCTTCTATCTTTAAACTGTTTCCAAGTAGTTCTTCTGGGATCCATTTCTTAAAGTCAAAGAGACTAATTTCCTGATGGTAACTATTTTCTTTTCTTTCTCTGCAGGTTTAAGTGGTAACTGGGTATCTTGTTAGCAGAACAACAATGAATAACTCAACATACATAAACTCTTCCACTGAAAATGTGATGGCTTTGGAAAGCCCCTATAAAACTGTTGAGGTGGTCTTCATCGTCCTGGTAGCAGGGTCTCTCAGTCTAGTCACCATAATTGGGAACATCCTAGTCATGGTGTCGATCAAAGTCAACAGGCACCTCCAGACTGTGAACAACTATTTCCTGTTCAGCTTGGCCTGCGCTGACTTGATCATCGGCATCTTTTCAATGAACCTGTACACCCTCTACACTGTGATAGGCTACTGGCCCTTGGGGCCTGTGGTGTGTGACCTCTGGCTGGCTCTTGACTACGTGGCCAGCAATGCCTCTGTCATGAACCTCCTCATTATCAGCTTTGACAGATACTTTTGTGTCACCAAGCCTCTGACATACCCCGTGAAGCGGACCACTAAGATGGCAGGCATGATGATTGCAGCTGCCTGGGTTCTGTCCTTCATCCTCTGGGCCCCTGCAATTCTCTTCTGGCAATTCATCGTGGGAGGAAGGACTGTCCCAGATGGGGACTGCTACATCCAGTTTTTTTCCAATCCTGCTGTCACTTTTGGCACTGCTATTGCAGCCTTCTATTTGCCTGTTATCATCATGACTGTCCTTTACTGGCAAATCTCTCGAGCCAGTAAGAGCAGGATAAAGAAGGTGAAAAAGGAAGCTGCACAAAACCAAGATACAGTTTCCCCCAGCCTTGTCCAAGGTAAAATAGTGAAACCAAACAACAACAACATCCCTACCAGTGGAGATGGTTTGGAGCACAGCAAAATTCAAAATGGAAAACCCAGCGAGGAGACTGTGACTGATAACTGTGTTCAAGCAGAGAAGGAGAGCTCCAATGACTCCACCTCTGTCAGTGTGGTAGCCTCCAACTTGAAAGAGGATGAAGCTACCAAAGATGCCAAACAGGCTTCTGCCTCCCAAGACCATCTCAAAGTGGAGAACTCCAAGCTGACATGCATCAAGATAGTCACAAAGTCCCCAAAGGGAGACTGCTGCGCCCCTACCAACACCACCGTGGAGATCATAGGCACGAACGGGGAGGAGAAGCAGAATAGTGTAGCCCGGAAAATAGTCAAGATGACAAAGCAGCCAGCCAAAAAGAAACCACCCCCCTCTAGAGAGAAAAAAGTGACAAGGACTATTTTAGCCATCCTCCTGGCCTTCATCATCACCTGGACCCCATACAATGTGATGGTGCTCATCAACAGCTTCTGCACATCCTGCATCCCTAACACTGTATGGACCATAGGCTACTGGCTCTGTTATATCAACAGCACCATCAACCCTGCTTGTTATGCCCTCTGCAATGCTACCTTCAAGAAGACCTTTAAGCACCTTCTTATGTGTCATTACAAGAATATAGGAGCTACAAGGTAAAAATAAGAATAAAAATAATTATGGGAAGGGTGAAGAAGTTCCAAATTAAATTAAAAACCCACGATGCTATAGCACTTTATGCTCTTCTATGGAATGTGCAATCCAGGATGCTAGTGGAAATCCTGACATGGGGCATCAGCTCTACCCCTGAGAACTACACTTAAAAACATTTTTTAATAATTGAAAACAAGTCCTTAGGACATGGGTATGTTTGAAAAATTGTTCAAGGATGTGGACTGGAGGCACAGTTCCGTACTTTCTGAGAGTATTCTGCAGAAGGGCTTTAGAGTCTACAATTTTTGGTCATTCTGTGTAAAATACTTGTTCTTCTTTTTTCTTTCTTTTTTTTTTTCTTAACCCCTGTATCCGTTTAACACATTTTCATCTAGGGAAAAAAAAAAAGAGGAATTTTAGTAATAACTGTGTGGAAGAGGCATAGGAGTATAGAAGATCATTGCATAATCCAAATGCATCATGGCAGAAATTTTCTAAAGTTCAAAGTTGTCTAACAGTTTTTTGCCACTGTCATGTAAGAAGCTTGATGTTGGGTACATCGCGATGAAAGTTATGTTGTTTATGACACCACCGTTTCCAAAACTGCATCAATTCTGCAAGTGTACTTATGCTCAACACGTAATCATTGCCTAACTTGTATATCATTCGAAGTCTGCAGCTTGTCCCATTCTACAGGCTTTTGTTCTGTGACTACTTCATCATGTCAGGATGAAAGTGAAAAGATGTGGTCTCGTCCAGATTGCTACATCCCAAGACTACTCCAGCATCTGTGTAAACCAAAGCTTTTGAGACGATTTTGTTCACTTTGTTTGTCACATAATATCAACGTGTGGATTTGTCTTTTACTTCCATCAGCCTTTTCTTCCTGTTTGTACCTTTCTTGTCCAGGGCACAAAGACTGAATATCAAAATTGTAAATTCAAAGGTCTCATACAATCAGCCACCATGGCGGTCAGACAAAGGGTCTCAGCTGAAGAATAGAAATGAGGTTGTTACTAGGAAAATGGAGCTTACATCCTTTTAAAGTTGGATGTACCGATTAAGAGGTATGTTGAGGCGTCACAGAATAAATAGATAATATTAGATCACCATGCTCTTGACCCATCAAAAGACGATTATTATGAATGTATTGAGGAAAAGAAAAAATAGAGTGATATACCCGCAGTGTCCAAGTTCTGCCTAAACACTTAGTGTGGGGTCCTTCCTGGATGTATCCTGGAGAAGATGTTACTTTCTGGAAAAGGTGTTATCGAAATTACCTTTTACCTCCTTCTTAGTAACTAACTTCCAGGCACTAGCAAAGGTATATTTACAGATTTTGTTACTCAAAAAAGCATAGACAGTGTCCTGAGAGTCTGTCTTCTGGAGTGAAAGCCACCCACCAAATAAGACACCAAATCATTCTGCTATTTCATGCTACCACACTAAAGTCTTCCAAAATGCATTTCAAAACAGCAGCCTCTGAGAATACAGAGCAATTAATCTTGAAGATTTAAGTTTTACGTTTGACAAGCTTATTGGAACGCAGTGTCAAAGCACTTTGGCAATATGACAATTTTCATGTTTTGTAGTACAAGTTCCCAGTAGAAAGTGAAAATGAGGAGGATTAAATCGCAGTAAATTAAGGCCACGCTAAACTCAGGATTAATGTGTCTTAGTATGCAGTCATTGATTTTATACCTCTAGTGATTTCATCCTAGTATAACTAAGTGTCTCCATACAGCCAAGGATCTAATTTTGCAACCCTCACTTGCCTAGTGAGGCATATTTACTAGTCATATTTACTAGTCATATTTACTATCACTATTTTCATCTTCCTGCTTGTAAGGAAGAATAACTCAATGAAAAAACTTGCTGCTTGCCTTTCAAAACTACATTCACTAGGTTTATCTTGGCAGGTCAAAGGAAAGACTTAAACTATCATTTCTAGGTTATTCATTCTCTTACAATGTTAAAAAATCCAAATAAAAAACAAAGATAAAATGAAAACTGTTTGATTTCTAAATCTGACTTCTTTGGAAAAGTTTCCTAAAAGAAACACACCTGCCTCTTTCTTTAAGCAAGTACTACGGGTATCAATAGTACAGGTACTCAAATTGGGAAATATTGGTTTGTATAGTCTTATTTAATCTTTTAACTCCATTTTTCTGCCAGGTGTGCAAATCCTTTATTCTCACATTGGAAGCTGTCACTTGCTCATAATGAATTAATCTCGTAGCTAAGGACACCTCTACAGGTTAAGAAGTGCAAGATATACATTACAATTATACCTCTTCATCATGCGATGGCACTCAATACCACAGGAAAAAACTATTTTGGGGCCAGCATTCATGAAACAAACAAGCAAACGAAACCCATCAGTTTGAAGCTTTCTGACACTTTTTCTTAGCGTGATCCCCTCTTTTGATCCTAAAAGACAAAATGCTTTGATTTGTATTATAGTATATTTAAAAACTTGCAGGTCGCACAGTCCTCTGTGTTTCCACCTTGTAACAGTTTCATGGCACATCCACATTTGCAGACAATGAAACAATGTAAAAATAGATGACAGAATACATCTATGTGTGTATCCACAGGCATGCAAACACACACCCCAACATAATTTATATACATGGAAAATATCATCTAATATTCAAAATATTGCATGAGATCTTATTTGTGTGCTCATACTGTTTACCCCCTCCTGAAGGCAGAGAAGAGGCAGAGTCTGCCCTGGGAACCTCTGGAATCTTCAGCTGGTTGTGGCTCAGTAAGATAAGAATGTGATAATTGTTCAGAACCACAAAATAATTTGTTCTTTTCAATATCCTTTGAGCTCTCATGTCTTTCTTTGTGTCCAAACCACGTTCACCAGGTTTCGCTTCCCTTCTGAGCGATAGTTCTGCGAGACCTAGATGTCAGTCTTGAAGAGCAGCTCTCCCTGGGTAACTTCTCCAGCTCACCTGGCTGTCACCTGCACACCACTGGCCCCAAGGCCCCAGGTACCCTTCTACAGGAACTGCTGCATCTTCACCTTGGGTTTGGCCAGAACATTCCACTGGCACATCCACATCATGTGTTGCACTGGTGACTTTTGTTTCACAGAGAAATGGAGCAAACTGTGCACTTGATTCAAGAGAAAAAAAAACAACCAACCAAACAAACAAAAACCTCACCACAAAATGACAACCAACAACAAAAAACCTGCAGCTAGAGCTTCTTGCCCCCTCTTTTTTTCCTATTTACTATTTCCAGAAAAAGACCAAAACTTAAAAGTTCCAATCAATCCTTGATATTAACCCTGCTGCAGCAGGATCTGTCCCGTTGGCAACCCATGGGGACTGGCTTGTACTGTCACAGGCCAGCCCTACTTTCACTCTCCAGAAGGAGAACAGCAGCCTGAAGATATCTCAGTTCAGTGGAAAAGAAGGAAAGAAAGGAAAGAAAAGAAGGCAAAGAAAGAAAGAAAGAAAGAAAGAAAGAAAGAAAGAAAGGAAGGGAAAAAAGAAAGAAAGAAAAAGAAAGATAGAAAGATAGAAAGATAGAAAGAAAGAAAGAAAGAAAGAAAGAAAGAGAGAAAAGAAAGAAAAAGAAAAAAAAAAGAAAGAAAGAAAGAAAGAAAGAAAACTGAAGTAATATCAAAAATCTGTTTTCCAGAGAGAACAAAATCTAAGAAAAAATTCTGTCAGTGTTCTTTCTATTTGGGATTTTTCATTTGATTTACTAGGAATTAGAGGATCCATTCAAAGATAGCAAAGTATTTCAATGTTGCCTGATGAAAAATAGTCCAGATGCAACAAATATATCTATACAGGTCAGATTGCTTTTTCTTTCTTTCTATCTTTCTATCTTTTCTGTCTTGCAAATGCTCATGGGGATGGGAGTGCTCAAACAGACCCCAGGGATCTGTTGTTTGGCATTCACAAAGCATGAAAGGGACAAAAGCAAGTGCTAAATCTATCAGTCCTTTGTTTTACACTCTTATGGTGGAAGAAAGCATATTGTCAAGAAGAGGTGCCTTTATTAAGTGTGTCTGTGGTGAGAACAGCCCACACACCAGTGAAGAAACCCTTGGGGTGGCCCAGCCATCCCAGATGGGACAGGAGAAGGAGTGGAGGGACTTTTTTTTGGTTTTGTCCCCTCATGGATTTGAATATGTCCATCTGTCTGCCTTGCAGTGGGCCTTGTTAGTAAACTCATTGCCCCTTTCCCCAGTTTTGACTGATTTTGATCCCTGTTCTTCATTCCTATGGATGAGACATTCCTACGGATGAATATTGCCTTGCTATACGGCTCCCATTTTCTCCTGCGGTGCTGAGGGGGCACACTTTGAATTTTTGACTTCAGCTGACAGCACCTCCCCTTGCTACTTCTGTTCCCCAAAACTACTCACGGTACCAGCCTAGCAGGGCCAAATAGGTAAAGTATCCTGACAGGCATCCTGCTGCAAATCTGGCATGAATGCAGCTGGAGGAAGGGGGATGGGGGTTGGGGGGAAAGCGTGATGATGATGTTTTTCCTTCCTCCCCTTAAAATAATTCCTAAAAATCTATATTTTTTGGCAAATTCGGGTGTTTCTTGCGAGAAGATAAAGTCCTAAGAAAGAAAATGCAGAAAAATAAATGCTGGTGCTGTTGCTGGGGGGCATTTGCTGACAGATAATGAGTTTGGAGTCTAATAGCCTTTGATATTTTTAAGGCTCTCTTAGATGGTTCTGTACTCTCAGCTGACAGCCCTGCAAGTGGTAGAAATTGAGAAGCTAAAAAGAAGTTAACTTTTCTTTCACCCTGGGTCTATTTACAGTGCCTAGAGACACACATTATGGGAATATCTATCCAATATCGCTTTTACTGTTTTACTGGTTTTGTATATCATGAGAAGCTCTAGACTTTTAAATCCCTTTTTTTCTAAAAATTTATAGAAAATCTTTCCTTGAAGGAAGCTGAGAGATGCTCTTTAATTTGCTGTGGCTTCTTTTCTCTGCCTGTCTTTCCTCTTTTGTCACAGTCTTGACAAAAAGCTTTTCTCCTTCTTCACTTTAACAAGTATGTCACCTGTGTTTCAGCTACAGGCATGCAGTTTCCCTTATCTTTTAGGCACTGTGAATGCTGGTATTCAACCTCTCTAACCCCACCAAAATACTGCTTTCTCTAGCATGCAAATCCCCTTCCGCTGAAGCCCAGCCTACCGTGTGGAGTGGGAAGTTCCATAAATCCTTTCTGCACGGGTTTTAAATCAGAAGTAAAACAAACCCTCATATGAAACAAAGCCAAAACAATTCTTTTGTTCTCCACTTTCGTCATCTCTGTATTAGAAACAACAGTGGATAATGTCAAAGAGTGCATATTCTTGTAGTGGAATATCATGCAGCAACATGCACGGATTAATTTTATGCTCTGTGCAATGGTAAGGCAGCCCTCCCTTCCCTTGAATTCCCTTTCATTCCTGAGCTTACTAGCATTTACTGACAATCCAAGCCTAAGAGTGTAATTATAGCAAGGCTGAGTTGAACATGAATCGTTTATCACAACCAATGCAATTATTTCTGCTATATTTTTACTTTCCTCCTTTTGCTTTGACCTCTTTTGCTACATTGTGGAACCAGTGGGTTACATGAGTGTATCAGTCCTCCCAGGCCTCATATTTCAGGATACTGGGTAGATTTGCTACACACATTTCATTCTAGTAAATATTATTCAAATAAAGGAAAACAAATTCTGGTGCCTTCCAAGCTCTGCATTACCTGAAAAAGTGCTATTTGGTAACTACTCTTTTCATCTTCCTATGGTGAGTTTTTTTCTTCTTTTTCTTTTTCTTTTTCTTTTTCTTTTTCTTTTTCTTTTTCTTTTTCTTTTTCTTTTTCTTTTTCTTTTTCTTTTTCTTTTTCTTTTTCTTTTTCTTTTTCTTTTTCTTTTTCTTTTTCTTTTTCTTTTTCTTTTTCTTTTTCTTTTTCTCTTTCTTTTTCTTTTCTTTTTCTTTTTCTTTTTCTTTTTCTTTTTCTTTTTCTTTTTCTTTTTCTTTTTCTTTTTCTTTTTCTTTTTCTTTTTCTTTTTCTTTTCCTTTTTCTTTTCTTTTCCTTTTTCTTTTTCTTTTCCTTTTTTTTCCTTTTCTTTTTCCTTTTTCTTTTTCTTTTTCTTTTTCTTTTTCTTTTTCTTTTTCTTTTTCTTTTTCTTTTTCTTTTTCTTTTTCTTTTTATCTTTTTTTTCTCTTTTTTCTTTTTCTTTTCCTTTTCCTTTTTCTTTTTCTTTTCCTTTTCCTTTTTCTTTTTCTTTTCCTTTTCCTTTTTCTTTTTCTTTTCCTTTTCCTTTTTCTTTTTCTTTTCCTTTTCCTTTTTCTTTTTCTTTTTCTTTTTTTTTTTTTTAATTATACTTGCCAAGAAGTACACAGAAACTATTTTCTAACAGATGCCCCAAAGTGCTCTGACTCTCTGGAAGAAGCATCTCGGTGTGGTACATCAGAAAATGTGATTGCAGCCCATGTTATAGTGGCCATTGGAAGGAAAGATTTCACTGAGTGTTTAATGTCTGGACTGACTCACCTGACAGCACTGAGGAAAGCACAGGGGGACAAGCTTGGTGTGCCCTTACTTGCAAAGGGAGAAGGAAATCACAGGTGGATTGTTTTTCTGCACCCACCAGCTCATGTCAGCTTCAGGGAGGCTCTGTCTCTATGCCTCTAGCCCAAAGATAGCCCTTTCCTGAAGCACCTCATGGTAGTAGTGGTATTATTAATAATAAAAACACTGATGAGAGTACCATGGTCGCCAATCAACAGATGTTCTTATATCTTATTCCTTAATTCTGCTGCCACTTTCCAGAGGTGGTTGGTAAGTTAAATACTTACTAAAGCAATTTGTAAATACCTTTAGATTGTGTGTTTTAACATGACCAACACCATATCTTGACTGTGTACAAAATAATACATTATATGTAATACTATCCAGATAAGGTTATAATGTAAATATATCTACAATGAATGTCAAATTACTCTTCAAGCTCTATGTATGAGGAAGAACCTCATCTCTTCTTGAGACCTTTTTTAACTTAAGGGTATGAAAAACCTGTTAATTGTTTATATAAAAAATCCTGCATTCTTTTCTTCAAACAAAAATACTGCTGCAAGAAAGAAGGGAATGCATTCCTTGTATGTGATAGCCAAAATCATGTGGTAGAACCGGGAATTGAGGATCTTACAAGTCGGAATCTGGTCAAATTCTTGATGCTGTCCATTTGATCTCATATAAATAAGATAAGCACAAGTTTATGGTTAGCTGTGTAAGGCTGACCCACTTGATTATATATACATTATAGATATATATTTATATATGCTGTATAGATATACACATATTATACACAACATTCATACAGTAAAAGCAAAGTTTGATAAAGTCCTTTTAACTGGGAATTTGGAGGTAATGTTGTGCTCCATTTGGAAGAAAATGTCTATGTTATTCAGCAGCATACAAATTTGTCATGCAGGATGAAGAAAGAAAGTGTTTCACCAAAACAAGCCATGAAAGAATGAGACGATGAGCATTTGAAACATTTTGAAGAGACAACTAAAATTACATGCAATATATGTGTATGTACTTCTGCTGAGTTGTATTCCTAGTTAAAGCATTGCATTAAACAGAGAATTATAACAACAATAAAAATGGTTTTGTATGTGGTACCTCTGTGTATTTTATCTTTCTACTGAGATACCCTGTGAAATGTGGAACGGGGATAAATGGAGAAAAATAATTGCCCTAAAATAGCCACTGGCTATGAGACTGTCTTTAGTAATTAGAAAAAAATTCTAACCCTCTTTTCCCTTAATTTCTTGGCCAGTGCAAAGTTCAAGAGAAGCCTAGACTACTACTTTACTTGTCCTTGTCTTGTCCACATCTCTGTTCCTCCTTCAGAAGATCTCACCATTAATCGCAATGTCCCTTGAGCAGTCTGACAAGGGTCTCCAATAAGACATTCCTCCATATATTTGTCATTCAAGTACTGAAAGGGAATAGAACAAGATTCTTTTGTAGCCATCCTGTTATATCAAAGCAAAAGAAACTTTTAATTATGGGGAGAGATGGCACCACTAACAGCCAAAGGTATTTTGAGCTCCCTCTGCCTCATGAATGCAGACCTAGCTGCATGGCATACCCAGAAAGCTTCTGGGAGTAGAGAAAAAGAACAGTTTGCATACTTTCAGCTTCTCAGGGTCTCAGGACAGTGTTTCAACCCC